TCCTTCACTTGTAAAATGAGTTTAATACCAATATCTACCTGGCACAGAGTAAACATGTAATAGATGATAGCTAAAGTTCCTGAGGGGATGCAATGTCTGTCCTGTATTCCACAAGCCCTTGGCATGCAGCTGATCACAAGAACATCTGCTGAATGGCTGAAGCATGATCAGACAAGATTGGTGTGCTCGGTTTTACAAGATGAGTTGTATCTAATACACACAGGGCATTTGTGTATGTGGGCAGAGGGGTGTTTAACATATATACCAGATTAGGTATGCACACAAAGTTACTAGTCCAAGGACTTATCCAGGGAGGCTCTGTGCTTCTTCTAATGTATGAGCCTTGTCTGAGGACTGTCTTCAGATTAGCTCATACACCACACAAGCACAACAGCCTCGTGAATGTCACCCAAGGAGCATCCCCTGATAGGGCCTTCCATATCATTTTCCATGACTAGGTCCACACAGGTCTAGGTGTTTCCATATTTCTGGAATGTAAATGCCGAGACAAGGATTATTCTTTTCTCCATTATAATCTCAGTGAGTAGAACAGGGACTAGCTCATAGTACATATAGAAATATTTGTTAAAGGAATGAATGAGCATTCTGCAGGTCTGAAAGACAATCCAAAGAGATCAAATCTCTAGTCATCCAAGATGACTACTCCAAAACAACAATCTCTACTTGGATATGAATTTTATGATGTATTGACTTAAAATTAATTTCAAAGTATTTTTGCATTTACAAAGTCAACCTCTTTTTACGGTAATGAAAACACATCACATTTCATCCAGTTACCTGAGTTATTATTTATAGAGTTTTAGTAAAATGTAATTGTATATTTCAATTTCTCCTTTATCTTTATTTCAGCAAGTATTCACACAACATACTTTCTAAAACTATTGAATGGATCACAACGTCCTTGTACATTTCTCCACATTGATTCTTCCACAGGGATGGATAAACCTGTTACTGAAACCTAGTTTAATATGAATGTAGCGTGGTCTTTTATATGTCATCACTTAAAGAGTAAGACCCTTCGACAACAACCCACTGCCATCAAGTCAGTTCTGACTCATAGCAACTCCCATTGGGTTTCCAAGGCAGTAAATCTTTATGGAAGGAGCTCTGGTAGCATAGTGCCTAAGGCACTTGACTGCTAACCAGAAGGCTGGTGGTTCAAACCCACCAGCCACTCCTCGGAAGGAAGGTTGGGCAATCCTACTTCCGTAGTGATACTGCCTCGGAAACCCAAGGAGGGGTCGCTATGAGTCGGGGCCGACTCGATGGCAAATAACAACAACAACAACAACAAGTCTTTATGGAAGTAGATTACCCCATCTTCCTTCCATGGAGTGGCTGGTGGGTTTGAACCACTAACCTTCTAGCTAGTGGTCAAATGCCTTAGGAACTATGCCACCAGAGCTCCTTTTTTGACAACAAAGGACACTTAAAATCTTTCAAATGTAATACAGTTGCAATATATGTTTAATCCTAAATTGAAACTGTGTTAGCACTGGGATAGTCCAACAGTAACAGCCAAGTCCTAAAGGAAGCCCTGGGCTTTGGGTGTGATCACAGCGCATTAGGCTGCAACACAGGGCTCCTAATTCTTGTGGTGTTCCCTATAAATCAGAGAAGAATAAGGGGTCCCGGGCATGTTTTTCCAACTAACATACATTGGCCAAATTCTTAATTATCATTAAAGTCCCAGTAAGTCTCCATGATAGCGCCCTTAACTAACTTTAGGCAGAGTGTAGATTCAACTAACAGCCATGAGTCCCTCCTTCCACTTTCTACCCTGCCTACCATCCTCAGCTCCACCAGGGCTCCCATGATGAAGAGTATCAGAACCATAGTATCAAAAGGCCACAGAACAGAAAAGCCAAACTCAATCATGTTCTTACCATCTAATTGCACGATATTATATAGGTGTGGCACAGTGGGTAAAGTGTGAGGCTGCTAACCAAAAGGTCAGTGATTCAAACTCATGGATGAACCCACTCTGAGGGAAAAAGATAGGTAAGTCTGTTGCTCTAAAGATTTACGGCCTCCCACGGGCCAGTTCTACTCTGTCCTGTAGGGTTGCTTTGAGTTGAAATCAACTCGGCAGCAGTGGATTTGGTTTTGATTTCGTATATAGGTGTGGCCAGGCCTTGTTGCTTATTCTTTCATGTTCTTAAAAGGAAGCCATCTGGGTCTTCTCCTAGAAATGGAGTCAAATGGATAGTTCTGTCCACAAACTGACATTGGAGAAGCCATTCTCCCCTTAACTATAAGTGGTCTGTGTTGAATTGTGGCCCTTGCTCATGTGCTGGTCCCAGGCCAGTGCTTGTTTCACCATCCACCCACCCACACTGGCAGCGTGGGGATGGTTAGCTAGGGCTTATGTGACCCTCTCTCCCTCTGTTGCTGCCGTATTCCCTTCACTTTATTGTTGTTGTGAGGTGCCGTCGAGTCGGACCCGACTCATAGCAACCCCTTCTTGAGTTTCCGAGGCAGTATCACAACGGAAGTAGATTGCCCAACCGTCCTTATGAGGAGTGGCTGGTGGGTTTGAACCACCAGCCTTCTGGTTAGCAGTCAAGTGCCTTAGGCACTATGCTACCAGAGCTCCTCCATTCACTTTAGTTCTCACTAATTTGTGCTTTAGGAGGCCTTGGTGAGTTAGTGGTAGAATTCTCACCTTCCATTCAGGAGAGCCGAGTTTGATTCCCAGCCACTGCACCTCATGAGCAGCCCCCACCCCTCTGTCAGTGGCGGCCCTTGTGTGGCTCTATTGCTGAACTAGTTTCAGTGGAGCTTCCAGACTCATATGGACTAGGAAGAAAGGCCTGGCAATCACCTTCTGAAAACCAGCTAGTGAAAACCCTATGGATCACAGTTGTCTGATCCATAACCCATCATGGGGCTGGTGCAGGAATGGGCAGCATTTTGTTCCATTGTGCATGGGGTCTCCTTGAGTCTAGGGGTGACTCAAAGGCAGCTAACAACAGCAATAGGTGCTTTAGAAGTGGGTGAGGAGAAAAAGGATCATATGACAGAATCAGGTGCTTTTGTGTCCCCTTTCAGACAGGATGACATTCGAACTGAAACCATAGCCACTCACAGTGCACTGGGAAGCCCAAACGCTTCCTCTAGAGCAAGTGGCAAAGCCAGGAGTAGTTTGTGATGCTGCTCGAATAATCTGCCTTGGAAATTCTATTTGACTAACTAGGGACCTCTGGGGGAGCTCTGGTAGCATAGTGCCTAAGGCACTTGACTGCTAACCAGAAGGCTGGCGGTTCAAACCCATCAGCCACTCCTTGGAAGGAAGATGGGGCAATCTACTTCCGTAGTGATACTGCCTTGAAAACCAAGGAGTGGTCACTATGAGTCGGGTCCGACTCAACAGTACATAACAACAACAACAGGGACCTCTGGTGGTGCAGTGGCTAAAACATTTGGCTGCTAACTAAGAGGTCAGTGGTTCGAGCCCACCAACTACTCTGTAGGAGAAATATGAGTATCTGTTTCCATAAAAGTTTAAGAGCTCTGGTGGTGTAGTGCCTAAGGCATTTGACTGCTAACCAGAAGGTTGGCAGTTCAAAGCCCCCAGCCACTCCTTGGAAGGAAGACTGGGCAGTCTACTTTGTAGAGATACCACCTCAGAAACCCAAGGAGGGGTTGCTGTGAGTCAGAACTGACTTGACAGCAGTGAGTTTGGTTTGGTTTAACTAGGAAAACCTCAGAAAATAAATTTGGCCAGAAGAAAGGGGGAGAAAAAAAAAACTATTAGTCACCCAAGATGGTTTTAACATGTTTGGAGATTTTATTTCCTTATCTCTGTCTCTCTTACTCTTCACACTCTTAATATGACTGTTTGATCTGTAATTGCACACATTTACAATATGGAGACAGGATGCAGAAAGTGACAAGCAACAGATAGTTTTCAATATCAATTTAAAAGCACTTTTCCAAATATGTAAAATGTTTTTATTTTTTATAAATTTGTCAAGCAGTTAAAAGAAAGATGCAACGCAAAAGTGAATTATATTACTTTCTTTCACCTAATCTCTGATTTGAAAGCTTTTGAAAATGTTAGCGCTACAGAGTGGAAAAAAAAAAAAATGGAGGAAGCATGGAGGCAAATATCCTTCAAGCAGCTCCAGAAAGAAGAGGCTGACTAGGACCAACCCATTTCATAAGGGAGCAGACACAGTGGGCCAGCAATAGTGCAGTTTCACAGAGTCAGCCCAGAACAGAGCCAGAGCTTGTTCCCACCAACATAGTCATTATTCTCTCTCCATGTGCTATGACACTCACTGTGAGGACACCAGGAGACAAGCTAAATCTGCACCCATATCAACCTGCAGCAGATATGGAATCTCAGAACCTCCAACAGGATGCAGAAATGGGTTGGGAGCCAACAGGATCAGGTGACTTGGCATGGTCAGCCCTGTAGATAATTCCAAAGTAGGAACAAGGACCCTCACTGGCCCAGAATAGATCAAAGACACAAAGGAGAACTACATCTGAGACCCTGGGTCAAGAATCCATAAAATCTGGCATGGGTATCAGGTCCCCACACTAGGGTAGAAATTCCCCAAAGATGGCAGTCTCCATGCAACCTGCTTCTGTGGAATATGGCATGGCCAGTGCTCTTGTGTTTCATTTTAGAGATGGTGTAAGAACTGAAGCCACAATGTTTCCCAGGCAACTGAGACAGTTAAGCACTTCATCTATAAGACAAATGTATGAGTGCTCAAGTGAGGAGCAAAGCCAGGGTGGTCTACGGTGCTCTCCATTAGCCCTCCTCAAACATCATAGGTATTACAGTCAAGAGCCACACAACAGTCTACTAGGGTAGCCAATCAGCTTTGAAAATTCTGCTGTGGCAAAATCTGACTAAAACTAGTAATGTCATTCAGATGTCTCCTTTTCTGAGTTTTTATTTTTCTCATTTTCTTTCTTCAGTTTCTTTCTGGTCTCTCAGTAGGGAAGCTGCACCTTTGTTTCTTATTACTTCCCAAAGGACCATCCATCTCAGAGAAGGTCCCTCAGATGGAGAGAGCCCCCGAGGTTGTCTCAAGCAACACAGATGACAGCTTCAGGCTTCCCTCTCTCCTTGTGAATGAAACCCACTGAGCCTGGCTGATGCAACCCAAGTTCCTCAGGGTTTTCATGAGATCACGGCGAAATCTCTCACCCACGAAAACATACAGTACAGGGTTCAGGCAACTGTGGAAAAAGGCAATGGTCTGAGTGACCTGGAAGCAGATATCAATGGTGATGGACATGGCACAGTTGGAATTGAATATGGTGTAGGCATCGATGGTCTGCACCAGCAGGATGCAGTTGTAGGGGAACTGAGATAAACCGAAGGCAGTAAGGACTGTGATGGTCACCCTTAAGGCCTTGTGCTTGGATGACTTCTTGGCTTGGAGCAGGGTGTGAATGATGATGGTGTAGCAACAAGCTATGACCACAAGGGGAAGAAAGAACCCCACAATGACATTCAGGGTCAGGACAACTGACTTCACTTTGGTGGTCACATCACTAGGGTAAACCATGGTGCAGATGGTGATGTCATCGTCCCCCTTCACTTGGCTATACAGGATTTCTGGGATGCAGAGCACAGCTGCCATCATCCAGATGGTGACACAAACCATTTTGCTGTACAGAAGCCTTTTCTGCCTCCAGTTCTGTGCCTTCATAGCCTGGGCAATGGCTATGTACCTGTCCACACTGATGCACATGATCAGCAACATGCAGCTGTAGAAGTTCATCTTGTACGTGGCATTGACCACTTTGCACATGAAGGTCTGGAATCTCCACTGGTCAGCAGCAGCAATGGCCCAGAAGGGAAGAGTGACAAGAAAGAGAAGGTCAGCAATTGCCAAATTCAAAAGAAACATGTCAGTCATGGTCTTCACTCTTGTGCAGTACCAGTAGACAAGGATGACCAGACTGTTCCCCACAGCCCCCGCAATGAATATGAGCCAGTACACGGGTGGCAGGAAATGGCTTGCAAACTGCCGGACATTGTTTTTCTTGCAGAGTAGGTCCGTTAAGTTCATGAAGTCCTGCATGGAAGGCGTGGATTCGTCGTTGTACTCATCAGGCATATTAGGGATAAAGGTCTGCAAGGGGACAAAAGACAACATTAGGTCAGGGACAATCTTTTTGAGGTTCTGTCTGATAGTAGAGGCATGGACCATTTGACCCTTCCAACACCAAGTCTATGATAAGACAAAAGAAATATATGCCTAAGAAGCAGGGATTCTGGCAGTATATGCTTTGGTTGTAGAATATTTATTCAAGAAAAGTTTTTGAGAACATATTATGTGCCAGGTACTATGCTAGATGCTAAAAAATAGTGGTGTCAACTAGGATTGGTGTCACTGAGTACAATCACTCATGGTGTTACCCCATGACCTCTTCCCATGCCAGACCATACAGGATCCTTGTTTGTTGTTGTTAGGTACCATTAAGTCGATTCTAATTTATAGCAACCCTGACCACAACAGAATGAAACACTGCCCAGTCCTGCACCATCCTCACAATCATTGCAATGTTTCAGCCTATTAATGAACCCTTAGAAATATTTATTATCAATTTCAAACATAGAACAATATGTGATAAGTATAGTTATAAATTGATTAAGTGTAATATTTCTTAGATTCTGTGAATGTTAACAACAAAACTGTTTTTATAAAATCTCTCTACATTGAATTACATCATTAGTAACTGAGCTGAGGTCTTCTTTGATTTTTCTCATTCTTTTCCTTTAATCACTACTTCATTCTCAAGAAAGTTATTGATATGGGTTCACAAATATACTAACCCACAATATTGGAGCTAAAACACCAGAAAATTTGACAAAAACACGGGCAGCAATGAAAACAATAGTGTGTGCTTGTAACACAGGCAGATGAAAACATGTGATTCAAAGCATCACTGTAATTGAATAATAATGACAGCTCTGACAAGAGGGATTGAAAAAAAAAAAAACAAGCTCACTGCTTTCGAGTTGGTCCCAACGTATAGCGACCCCTCCTTGGGTTTCTAGGGTGGTATCTCTATGGAAGTAGATTGCCTAACTTTCCTTCTGAGGAGTGGCTGGTGGGTTTGAACCAAACCTCCAGACCTCTGGTTGGCCTTAGGCACTATGCCACCAGAGTTTCCACACATGGGTACAAATGCATGCACCCACACTCACACAATTCATATGCACACATATACATATGCAAACACACACACCTCTTATTAAGTTTCCATGGGTTCCTGGCCATGAAGCCATCAGAACCCCAGAAGCCATCCCAGAACTACTGCTAGGGGAAGAGGAAATAAAGGCCGGAGAGGAGGACCCTGAGACATGAGCATATGACTGAGTCATAATCTGGGATGGAGAGAGATGGGAGGAGAAGGGATGCAGGGATGGAGGCGTGAGTCAGTCCTGCATCTGTCTGGTCCCAAAGCCTCCACCCACAGACCCTCAGACACTTGCATTTTCCCACCAGTCCTCAACCCAAGGCTCTCATGAGGGCTCCCAAATTCTACCAGGTACCACCAGGTCTCCTTCTCTTCCCCCAGGGCCAAAGGACAGTCCTTTCCAAATCCTATCTCTACCTTTTTTTTCCTCAGGCATATCTGACAGTTGTAAAACTAATCTGCATTCATTTGAACTGCAAGTTACTCCAAATCCACAATAGACTTTTATTTTAAATATTAAATACGTAATACTATCAAATAAGTATAAATAATAGTTGATATACTTAAATATTCTATTGAAATAATAAAATATTCTCTGTGAGTCTTCTACTAGCTGTGTTCTCCCTGTCTATGTTGTGTTGTTGTTAGTTGCCATGAAGTCGGTTCTGATTTATAGCGACCCCATGTGTGCAGATTAGAACTGCTCCATAGGATTTTCAAGCAGATAACCTTTTGGAAGCAGATTGCCAGTCCTGTCTTCCAAGGCAGCTCTACATGGGTTTGAACTGCCAACCTTTTGGCTAGTACTCCAGCACTTAAATGTTCATGCTGCTCAGAGACTTCTCTCTTTGTCTATATACTTTATCATTTCCACCTGCTTCTAGTATATGAGGCCATGTTTTGGATGGAGAATGTCTGCATATTATATCTCCTTCTTTGAAGTTCACAATCCTCATGAGCGTATTAAAGACTCTGAAAAGCCATGTGTAACTCATTTTATTTTAACTGCACATTAGCACAGTAAAGGCTATGAGAAGTCCTTCAGAATCTGCTAGTTTTTCTTTAAAAATTTCCCAAACTTAGCAGCCATATAGATGCAACGATGGGTCTCTCCTCGTCCAGCACAAAAAGAATGAAGAAAACCAAAGATTCATGGAAACAATTAGTCCTAATGACCAGTATACCATGTGATCCACAGCCTATATGACTATGAGACCAGAAGAACTAGATGGTGCCCAGCTACCAATGTCAACCACTCAGAGGGATATCTATGTAGGAGACCCTGGATAGAGAGGGAGAACAATGTGGAACAAAACTCAAAAGCATTTGGAAAGAAAAAAGGGGTGGGGGACCAGGTTTGCTGGTCTGATAGAGCCTGGTGGAACCACTGAGATTATGGCCCCTAGCTGCCCTTCAGGTCTAGAATTGAACCCACACCTGTGGCTTCCAGTCAAGCAAAAGACAGGCATAGGAGTTGAACATTAATACACTTCTTGGAGAGAACAATCATGGGAGAAAGAAGGGCTGTTTATGCACAAGAAGACAGCTCAGGGGGCAGGGGTGCATGGAGCGATGTACATAGGGAAGAGGTGACTGTTGGGAGGAAGTGGGAGGGGAGCTATTGCATTGTGGTGAATTGTGGTCAATGTCATGAGACAAAGTGTATGTGAACTGCTGTATGGAAAGTGAATTTGCTCTGTAAATTTTCAGCCAAATCACTATATATATATATATAGGAGCTCTGGTAGTGTAGTGCCTAAGGCACTTGACTGCTAACCAGAAGGCTGGCGGTTCAAACCCACCAGCCACTCCTCGGAAAGAAGATGGGGCAATCTACTTCTGTAGTGATACTGCTTCGGAAACCCAAGGAGGGGTCACTATGAGTTGGGTCCGACTCAACGGCACATAACAACAACAAATATATATATAAATTAAGGGGGAAAAAATTTCCCAAACTTATGTGAACATGGGACCTGTTGTGTGTGTGTTGGTGGAGTGCTTATCAAGATATCAGAGGACACTAAGTTCCCTGATTCCCTGATAAAGGGCAGTAGATATCAGGAAGCTGTTGTCTCCTGAATTCTGAAGCTCATCCTAAGAATGACCAAGGGATGGTCCTGCCACAAAAAGAAAGACCCCAGGAGGCAGGATCCTGGAGATGGGTCTTCAGGGAAAGTAGCCTGAAATGGCCCACTGAGAAAAACCCCTCTCCCATTGTACATATAATTGCTCCTTAAGCCCAACTAGTCCCCAGTTTATGTTTAAAGAGTTCCCTTCTGGGTTTGGTTGTTGTCTGGAAACTCAGTCTCTTGGGTGGACAGATCTCATGGCAACACATATCTTGGTGAAGACACTGGGAGAATTCTGTCGACATGGGAGCCTCACAAAGTCATGGCCTGGGACTCCAGGCTCAGAGGTCCCCAGGAAGGTAACTCCAGAAGAGGTCATCTCTGAGTAGACTTTGAGTGAAAGGAAGAGCTTTGGGGTGGAGGAAAGACTAAGGAGAGCACAGAGACCAACAAACAGGAGTCCAAAAGCATTAGAGGCTGGGAGGATGACGCTGTGGAGTAAAGTCCATAAAGCCAAGCAGATGGGCAGATGTCAACTGTGGCTGAGCACAATGATTTAGCATGAAACTCAGCTTTTGTCAAGCTTTTTAAAACGGTGTTGTTGTTTTCCAAATAGCTCTGATAGACTTTCCTATGAGCCTGAGCCAAGCCCAGAGACTGACAGCATCCCCTCTCACAGTGAGGGCCCAGAGGTTCTCACAGAGGGGAGGTGCCTGCTCCATGGGCCTGTCAAACCAGTGCTCCCCCCATGGCAGGCAGTTTCATGGACAATGTAATGAGGAGGAAAAAGAAGAGAGAAAGAGGAAGGGAAGGGATCCAAGAAAGGACACACTTGACACAGAGGGACAACTTCTAAGCGATCAGTTGCCATAGAGTTGATTCTAACTCATGGAGACCCATGTGTGTCAGAATGGAATTGTGCTCCAGAAGGTTTTCAATGGCTGATTTTTTCCAAGTAGAACATAGGCCTTCCTTCCAAGACACTTCTGGGTGGACTCAAGCTGCCAACCTTTCAGTTAGCAGCCAAGTGTGTGAACCATTTGTACCACCGCTGTTAGCAACCTAGAATCCCCTATTAGCAAAAGAATAAAATAGAGCTTGTTTCTTCTTTGGCTATGAGGAGTGACCATTTGTTAGCGTAGACAGGAGCTGATGCTTTGTGAGAGCAGTGTTTTGTTGAAAATTCAGCTATCTGTCTGGATTAAGAAGATGGCATGTTCATCCCAGGCTTGGGAAACGTACATTCGCTACTTCTCATCTATGGGCAATAAAATATTGAAATGTATTCACTCACTGAACAAATAGTTACTGAACAATTTATGCATTATAAGCAAGGAAGCAACTTCCGAAGGAAACCATTAGAGTTGACAATAGAAAGAGAAATGGACCAAGATATTAAAAAGTTTAACAGGCCTCTACTTGCCAGATCTTAGCCCAAGTCAAGCCTTTGGATGGGGCAGGGATGAGGCACACAGGGATGACAGGAAGCCTGGTGTTTCAAGGGTACTAAAGCTGGCCCTGAGTGCAGCTCCAACCCCTCACCTTCGAGAGAGGAAGATGGGAAAAGAAAGGGGAGAGTAAAGAAGAAGGGGGAAGAGGGAAGAGAGGAGAGGAGGGGAGGGATGCACCTGTTATTATCCACCCACACTGGGAATCAGGCCCACACATGTCCCTTCTTCTTCCCACTTAGATTATTCTAGATACCTTTGAGCACAGAAGGTCATTGCTGGGGTGAAGTTGCCTCTTATCTGAGCCTGTCTTACAGAGCTCAGTGTGTGTTTCAAAGATGAAAGAGTTAAGGTCTTTTCCAAGATCCCAAATGAAATTGAATGACCATTAGGCTCAGAAGCAGCACTGGCTCTGCCACCCTGACCTGGCGCTATCACAGCATCAGTGATGGAAAGGCGTGTTCTAACTGCAGGAAGCGGGCAGCTGGGAGGCAAGAGACCTAAGGATCTAATTCCTGTCCGGCGGTGGGGGGGGGGGGAAGGCAACCTACCTCATAGGACAAAATTACCTTAAAAAAAAAAAACTACTTATTTATATGCAAGTATGTACCTATAAATATGTAATGTTAAAGAACCATGGACTGCCAGAAATGAACAAATGTATTCTGGAAGAAGTGCAGCCAAATGCTCCTTAGAAGCAAGAATGGCCAGACTTCATCTCACCTACTTTGGTCATGAGCTCAGAAGGGACCAGTCCCTGGAGAAGGATGTCATGCTTGGTAAAGTGGAGAGTCAGAGAAAAAGGGGAAGACCCTCAACAAGATGGATTGACATGAGACTACAATGGTGGGCTCAAGCACAGCAGGGACTGTGAGGAAGGTGCAGGACTGGGCAGTGTTTCATTCTGTTGGACGTACGGTCGCTATGAGTCGGAATCAACTTGATGGCACCTAACAACAGCAACAACAAAGAATCATTAGAGTAGCATGAATTTATTTGACATAAACTATTTCAACTGCTACTCTCCACAGATCATATAAACAAACCAACAGTGTACAATGAAGGAGAGTTTGTTAGCTCCACTAAGAAGGCTTGATTTCAATGATCTATATGTAAAACTGAGAGACTTTCTGTTTAAGAAAAGCAAGCCCCCAGATATTTTTGTAAGCCAGTTACGAACATAACAAAAGCCTAAGATTTGGTTCAATTCTACAATTGATTAGTGTTGATTGTAAAGTCGTGAATGATTCCCTGGGTAATGATTTTACTCACTAATTTTTGTTAGGCTCTTAGTCTCTTTCACAGAAATATATGTCATTACGTGTTTCTGTAAGGCCTTCTTAATGTTATGTGAGAAATGCAACTAATGTGTTTATCGTGAATCTTTTAAAAACAAATGAAATGGATTCTTCTTTGTCTCTTTTGCCTGAATTTCAAAACAGACGTATATAGAATTCAGCAAGGTCATGTTAAAAGAGCTCCTATAAAAATCTTTAGCTACTGCGACTAGTATACCATGCGATCTACAGCCAAACGACTATGAGACTAGAAAAACTAGATGGTACCCATCTACCACTGTCAACCACTTGGAGGGGAATCTATGTAGGAGATCCTGGATAGAGAGGGAGAACAATGTTGAATGAAACTCAAAATCATTTGGGAAAAAAAAGGGGGGACCAGGTTTGCTGGTCTGATGGAGCCTGGTGGAACCACTGAGACTATGGTCCCTAGCTGCCCTTCAGGTCTCGAACTGAACCTACACCTTATGGATTCCAGCCAAACAAAAGACAGCCATATGAGTTGAACATTTACCTGAGGTAGATACACTCCTTGGAGAAAACAATCATGGGAGAAAGAAGTGCTGTTTATGCACAGGGAGACAGCTCAGGGGGCAGGAGTGCATAGAGGGATGGACACAAGAAAAAGTAACTATGGGGAGGAAGTGGGAGGGGAGCTGTTGCATTGGGGTAAATTGTAATCAATGTCATGAGACAAGGTGTATGTGAACTGCTGTATGGAAAGTGAATTTGCTTTGTAAACTTTGACCCAAATCACAATTAAAAAAAAAAAGAAAAATGCTTAGCTACTAACAAAATTTATTTAATAGCATTTTCCTCTGGTCTTCACAATACACCCACAGCCCCTCTGACTCTTCATATACACAAATGTCTCTGTGCTGGGCAATGGCCACCCTGTAATCCTGGCACTGCTCAACAGAGATCCTACCTTGGGAATCCAGATGGAGAAATCCTTCCCTCACAATGGATTCCTTCTCACACCCCCAAAAAGGCAAGATAAGAGTGAATTTGGGGGAGCCTGAGGAGCATGGCAGTACTCACTGTGAATTCTGTGGGTGTCATGGTGGGTCAGATGCAAGCCTGCTCCTGGAAGAGAGGACAAAAATAAAAAAGATGATTTGATTGCAAATGAACAGTAACTACCAAACACCAAGAGATGGAGCTTAAATATTAAATCTGTTGATAGTGATGAAAAAAAGAAAAATCCCAAGCAAGAGTTAGAGTCCATGTTATATGAATACCAAGTCAAATATTCTAGATTTCAGATCATCTTGGTTGTTGATATAGAGACAAAAGAAACTGTCATTTGAATCTGTCATTCACTTCTTTGAATCGGGCTATCACCAGATTCTAGGATTCATTTTCTTTCTTTCTTTTTAATTTTTATTGTGATATTGGCAAAAGTTTACAAAGCAAATTCATTTTAGGATCCATTTTCTTTTTATTTATTATTTTATTATTTATTTATTTATTATTTTCCCTTTTCATTTATTATTTTCCCAGCCATGGATGAGGAACGGTGACAGGGCCACTGAGGCTTTTAAGTTTTTCCCAGGATGTCCTTTTTACATTAGCTCATTTTTCTCTTGTGTCAGTTTCCCTGTCAGGTTCTGTTATGCTGAATGCTCCCCTCAACACATCACCACAATTTCATGAACTAAGGGACTTGATAAAGACTAAGAGAATGACAGTCATTGACTTAAGAATGCTCTGGCCCATCTGATTGCACAGGGGCCCTTCTCAGGGTACCTGTAGTGTGCTCACTTATGCCTGACATCCCTCTCCAGCACCAACCTGCATGCTCCATCAGGAAGCATAGGTCAGAAAGATGGGCACTTTTTTCTCTACCCTAAGACTCCAGCAAGAAAAGGAAATCCTAGGCTTGTTTTCCAAAGAAGAGGATGAGTCACATTCCCTAATGCAAAAAGCCTTGGAGCTAACTTGAATAAATCTCTGTTGCTGTTGCTTTGTGTTTTGTGTCTCTTTAAAACTCACCCCTCAATAACCAAAGGAATAACACCTTGACTCCATTCACAGAAGGGCTCTGTGCAGAGCTGAGCATTTCCTTTTATACCCCTAGCAAGTGTGTTTCCAAGGAAAACACATCCAACTCAACACCCCAAAGTTGTAGAAGAAAATATTCTCCTTCATAAATCCAAACCTAACCTGTTGACTTCCTTTCTATAACATCATGACTCACCCTGCTTTTTTGAAAGTACAGTGGTTTTCAGAATATAACATGTGGCACAACCACTTTGGAAAAGAATTTGGCAGTTTCTTAGAAATTTAAACACATGTTCACCATATGATCCAACCATTCTACTCCTAAATATTTACCCAAAAGAACTGAAAACATATGTCCACACAAATGCTTGCACATGAAGGCTCTTAGTAGCTTTATTTGTAAAACCCAGACCTGGAAACAACCCAAATGTTCATCAACTATTGTTGTTAGGTACCATCAAGTCAGTTGTGACTCATAGCAACCCTACATACAGCAGAATAAAACACTGCCCAATCCTGCACCATCCTCACATCATTGCTGTGTTTTAACCCATTCTTACAGCCACTGTGTCAATTCATCTCATTGAGGGTCTTCCTTGTTTCCACTGACCCTCTACTTTACCAAGCATGATGTTCTTCTCCAAGAACCAGTCCTTCCTGACAACATGTCCAAAGTATGTGAGACAAAGTCTTGCCATCCTCACTTCTAAAGAGCATTCTGGTTGTACTTCTTCCAAGACAGATTTGTTCACTCTTCTGGCAGTCCATGATACATTCAATATTCTTTGCCAACACCATAATTCAAGGCATCATTTTTTTTAAATAAAAATACAATTTATTGAAATATAATTTATGCACAGTGAAATACACAAAACTAAAGTGACATGTTCAATGCATTTTTAAAAATTTGGCAGTGTTCCCTCCTCTCTCCTCCCACCCCTGGTAACCAACAAAGAAAGTTTCCTTCCATATATAAACTTTTCTCAAGGCATCAATTCTTATTTGGTCTTCTTTATTCATTGCCAAGCTTTTGCATGCATATAAGGCAATTGAAAATACCATGGCTTATGTCAGGCACACTTTAGTCTTCAAACTGACATCTTTACTCTTTAACACTTTAAAGAGGTCTTTTGCAGAAGATTTGCTCAATGACATGGTTTGGTTTCTTAATTGCTGCTTCCTCCTATGAGCATTGATTGTGGATCCAAATATAATGAAAACCTTGACAACTTCAATAATTTCTCCATTTATCATGATGTTGCTTATTGGTCCAGTTGTGAGGATTTTTGTTCTCCTGATATTGAGGTGTAACCCATTCTGATGGCTGCAGTCTTTGATCTCTGCCACTGACTGCTTCAAGTCCTCTTTGCTGTCAGCAAGCAAGGTTGTGAATGGGTAGACAAACTACCCATATAATGGAATAAGAAATGAATTATTGATTCACACAAAAACACAGATGAGCCTGAAAGGAATTATGCTAAGGGAAAGAATCCAGGCAGCATATGTTGTATATTTCAATTTATATGTAATTCTAAGAAGTGAAAGCTAATCTAAAGCAACAGAAAGCAGATCAATGGTTGCCTGGGAGGAGTGCAAAAGGACATAAGAAAACCTTTGTGGGGTAATAGATACATTCACTATATTGATTGTGTGATAATTATCTCAGGTATATATATGTATACATCAAAACTTATGTTATGCACTTTAAATATTTACAGTTTGTTATAGATCAATTGCATCTCAATAAAGCTACTAAAGTTTTGTTTTGTTTTAAGTATAATGAAAATTTCTGTTTTTTTTTTTCACTCCTAAGAATATCTGGTTGTCAGCAGGCAAGGAGGAAGGGAATCAGAAACTTCTCCTTATAACCTTTTGGCCAGCATCTGCAAAATGCTTTGGAAGGTCTTGAGTTATTATATTGGAATTGAGGAATCAGTATGAACTCATTATTTTAAAGATTAGATTACATAAATAGAGATAGATAGATGTTAAATATATAGACAGACTGATAGATAGAAAGGCAAACAGACAGACAAATAGACTGATAGATGACAGAAAGGCAAACAGATAGATAGATAGACTAACAGAAAGACAAGCAAGCAGGCAGATGATAGATAGATAGATAATAGATGTGTGTGTATTGCACACACATACTTCCTGCCTCTGTCTGCTGAGAGGACCTAAAAGCAATAACAACTGTGGAATGAGCACCCAATGACTCTGTTCATGGTTCCTGAATACCATTTTCCTCCAAAAGGAACCAGAGCTTCTTGGAGGAATGTCTAATTCCAGAACAGGGACAGGGAAAGTAACAACATGAGCCTGGAACAGCTTTTCCCCAGAAAGCAAGAAAGTGCTCAAAGGATCACGGGAATGTGTCAAAACGACATAGGCACCGGAAGAAAAAAAAAAATAGAGACATAGGTACCAGGTTGATTGGGCTCCCAATCACCAACTCTGAGGCAAATTGAGCATCTGAGGCAGTAATGATAATGATTATGGCATATTCAATAAGAAGACAATCCATGAATCCATACTGACACAAATAATAAAGAAAGATATGGGGGGAAAGAGACAGTTCTTCCTTATGGTGCCAACTAATCAATATAGAAAGAATGATGGAATTAGAAAATCATGAGTGATGCCAAAATCGGTGGGTGAACATTTGATAAGGAACTCTGATACTCACATAGTCTCAGAACATCTCTCCCAAAATTATGTGTTAATTACAAATACAGAATAATACCTTTACTATGGAGAAACCCAGAGAATATCAACTTAAACCAATCTTCAAACCCAGTATCATTGGTATGGGAGCAAAATAACATCATGTATGTCCTAAAAAATGGTGCAGTGAGGAGGGAGTACACAGCATCCCTTTACTGGTATCCTGACAAAAAGCACTGGCCTATGTCTAACAATGAGGAAGTACAAGACAAACCCCAAACGGTGAACTTTCTACACAGAGACACAAAAAGGATTGAAGAGCTGTCTCAGATGAAAAGAAACTAAAGAGACTAGAGTCCTTGGGTGGCGTGAAGAGTTAAGCACTCAGCTGCTAACCAAAAGGTTGGCAACTCGCATCCACCCAGAGGCACCTCAAAAGAAAGATCTGGCAATCTACTTCTGAAAGATCAGCCATTGAAAACCCCACAGAGCACAGTTCTACTCTGACGCATAGGGTGACTGCCTCCAAGTTGGCTTGATGGCCACTGGTTTAAAGAGATTGGTAACCAGATGCAATGCATGGTCCTGGAGTGGAGAGAGAGGTCAATAAAGGACACTACTGGGAAATCGAGGACATTTTAATATCAACTCTCAACTAGATAACAGTAGTGTATCAATGTTAAATTTCCAGATTTTGCTAATTGCCTTGTGGTTCTATAGGAGAATGTCTGTGTTCTTAGAAACTATCCCCTGAAGAAGCCCAATATCTTCAGCATATCCTCAAGTAATTCGTAAAAACAAATGGGGAAAAAAAAAAAAAAAATGAATCCAGCGGGACAATGTGAAAACAACTGGTGAGAGAGGATAAAGGGTTCAGGCAAGTTCCTTACACAATTCTTGTACCTTTTTTGAAATAATATCCAAATAAAAAATTACAATAGTTTTTCAAAAGTGCCGTAGAGATTGGTTCACAGATAAGAAGCCTCAAACTTAAGCAAAAGCCCGGACACACGAAAGCCAAGAGCAGGGCTGAGGCAGCATAAATCACAAGCAGCCTTGGCCGCTGGCCAGGACCGCTCTCACACAGGCACAAACCGAACTTCACCGTAGCCATCTGAGTGCTGGCAAAATTCTGGCATTTATCTTCAGAAATGCTGTTTCTTTCTTTATGACTTTGTACTATGCAAGTAACACATGTTTTTGCCAGAAATTTGGCAAATACACTAACTATAATATAATAATAATAATATAGCTATGAAGAGGCCACCAACATTATTAGGGGAAAATGCAGGGTGCAAAAGATTATGCTGACAATAGAATACTATGCAACACTAAAGAACAATGTAGAAACTGCAAAACACCAAAGAACGTGGATGAACCTGTAGGACATTATATGGAGTGAAATAAGTCAATCC